AAAACAAATGACCGTAGGTGCATGAAATGTTGTGATGTTTACGGACATTTTCAATTTCCATTTTTTTTTAGTTTTTTTTTCTTTAATTAATATCAATAACATTTTATTTGTTGGTTAAAAAAGCTTGATAATTTAATAGAAGGCTCCTCCTAGTATATTGTTTCAAAGGCAGATGAAAAAAATTAAAAATCTAGTCACAATTTTGTTTTAAAGCATCTAAAGTTAAAATATTTACAAAATACGAGTTAGAAATTCATAAAAAGTTTTCTTTTTAAATCTAAGATTCTTTATCAAAAAAAATGTCTATAAGATAAATTACATTTTTATGAGCGTTTGAAATTAAAATTTTTACAACATTGGATATTCACTCGATTTCTCATGTAGCGATTTCTTTATTTTGTTGTAATTAAAAAACGAATGACTGTAGAATGTAGATACTTGAAAATTTCACTGAATGTTTATATTAGCATTTTCTATACACGATAAAATTTTGAAAATAACTTCACTCTTTTTGAGCTGTTTACGGACATCGTCAGTTTTCAATTTTTTTAGTTTTTTTTTTCTATAAATATCAATAAAATATTATTTTAAGGGTAACAAAGCTTGAAAATTTAATGCAAGGCTCTTGATATATTGTTACAATAGCAGTTGAAAAATATTAAAAATACATTTTCACAATTTTTTTTTATAAGCATTTAAAGGTCGAATTTTGACAAAATGTATCAAATTTATAATGTAATAATTATTTTGTAGTTAAAAATTTATAAAATGTTCAACTTTTATAGCTAAGGATTGAAAATTTAAAACAAGGTTCTGCGTAAAAAGGTTATAGGTATATAAATATATTATTCACAATAATATCATCAAATATACTTGGTAATATCATAGGCTGACCGACCGTTTTCGCTCAGAATCGTTTTTCTTATACAATGATATCATATCAATGATTTCAAATTTAACATCATCCATGACAGTGACCCGCTTATAACCTACTGTACAGCAGAGCGACACCCACTTGCCCACCTTTTTTTGAATCACAACAAAATGCCTAAAACTGATTGAGCAACAAGCACTATTTTTCGTCAAAATGTTAACTTTAATTTCAAACATTGTGACATTGTATTTTATCACATCCACTTACCCACCTTTTTTTAATTGAAATTACGCTAACCCCCTTGATGTTTTATCAAAACTGCCACTGCATACATAATATTTATTACCATGAATACTTATTTAATACCATTGGGACCATTATTATATCAACCTTAAATCATATTATACATAAGTACTTATATGATCAAAGGTATCAACTGTCAACTATAGACTATAGTATGAGTGCCTTTGTCTTATTTTGTCGCCAACATGTCTGCCGTTAAAAAGTATTTAATCGTGATATTTATTTATTTTTAACAAAACTCCCAATCTTCATATTAGTATATTACAAAATACAAATATATATAGTTTTTTATTATTGCATAAAATCATTGTTTTACCATTCTTAAAACCTGCACGTTTGGATAGTGATTATAGTTTTTGTAAGTAGGTACCTACAAAATGTATATTTTTTTATTTAGTTACTTATTATTTTAATACAACATATTAAATAAATAAATCACCATATACCTAGGTAATATATTATATTACGTTTTGAAGGGGTTCCTTGTATATTATTATTATTGCATTTAAAGTAGTTAACCTCCCCTTCCTTCCAGAAAAAAATAGTACCTGATTTCCGCAAATGCCCTTAACGCTACTGAATAATATCATACTATACCACCCTTAAAACTGATATACCATACATGGTTAGTTGAAGAGCTTCAATAGGTAGCAATAAAGTGCCAAACACACAAAATGATTAGGGCTTTTACAATATATGTACATATTATAATACACAAAATGTAGTTACTAGTTATGTTAGTTATTTAACCTAAAAAGTCAATACCTTTTTCAGTTCATATTTTGACATTCAACCATTCTACATTGGCGTGGACACTAGTGGAAGCTTTATTGACTGTCACGAGAACAACAGCAGAATCATGATCGTACTTTTATATTTGTCAAAAAAAATATAGCGACTGTACATTAATCACAATCAGTTTACAAAAAACATTTTAACCGCTATAAATACTTATTAATTATAACAGGTACCTATATAAATCTGTTAAACGGTAACTTAAACGATAGAAATCAGCATTACAGCCAACACGATTTGTAAACCTAATATTAAAATATTTTATCTTAAATCATCGCTTTATAATAATATGGTATACATTAATATAAGAACGTATCTCTAGATGTTAAATATAATTTTAAGTAGATGTACCAAAATCGTAAGAGAAATTATGAAGGGTTTTTTTTTTTAAATTTCGATAATATTTTAGTCTATATAGGTACTACCTATATAATATTAATTCACGTGGGTGTGTATAGGACGCCCCCCAAAAACCGGTATGGATGGTCTCGACTCAAGGTTAATGTCACGCATACAGAAGGTTTAGAAGAGTTGAATTGCAGGATATATAATATTGCCAGGTGGTCACCTGGCAACACCTGCCTAAATATAATAACAATAGGCCAAGATAAACAGGGTGTACAATAAGTTTGGATTCTTTGCCAATTGACAGCAATATTTGTATTTTAATATAACAAAATATATCGAGCAATAATATAACATACATGTACACTGGTACACTGCGGCAGTTTACTATAGAACACCAAAGAAAAATTAAATAACGATCACGATAATAAATCATTAATTACCAGATATGTGGAAGTATTAACTAAGTGTCTAACGAAAAATGTTCAGTACAAATATATCAAATGCTAAAGCCCCCCTATAAGGAACAAGTGAGCGACTAGATGTTTGCCAAAAATTATTATTCTATGGTGGCACGGGTAGGTCACATAACAAGCTGTATGGCCCGTGTATAGGTCTGCAGATTAAATTAATAAAACCAAACCAGCTGGAAAATAAAATATTCCAAACCTGAATGCGAGTTGGACATTCAATGATGTGCAGCGTAATTGCACGTTCGTATTTTATAAAGACTGCACATTAGGTATGTTAAATAAATATTTTGAAAACCGTTAATTTTTCAAAATAAAGTGTGTATACGTTTAAAAAAATCACACACATATATATAGTTTAAAACTATATTTTCGTTGAGAGGACGGAACATGCGTGACATTGAAGAGTGTTTAAGAAATTTTAATATCCCCTTCGTTTATTTTGGACCACTATATTTGAAACCTACCGCATTATAACGCATGGACAGGTATATAGGTATAACAGTTGAGTTTATACGTATATTATATACCTACAACTGATCTTACATATTATTATTATGGAGTGCGTTGGATTGGATAAAAACCGAGATGTGCATTAACCTCGTGCTCGCCACCGACATCTCTGTATTACAATATACCGATATCGCTGGTACATAACAATATATAGGTAATACATGCACAATGGGGTGAGTTTTTTTTTTCTTTCTTCTCTTTTTCTTTTTTGGAGCGTATATAAGATTATCAGGTTACCGTGCTTAGGGGCGGTGTCGATTTGGCGAAGGTCTTTTGTCCGTCCACCGGGTACACATCATATATGTTATGTACAGCATACACGCACCACACGACCACCACTATACCTAACCTACCTACCTACCTACCTACAAACACGGACTTGAAATTTGATTTTTTTTTTTTTTGTTTGTTTGTTCGCTCTCTCCGAAACACCTGGCGCGGACGAGAGACACTGCTGCTGCTGCTGCTGCATGCAGTGCAACAACAGATCCGACAACGTATAAAATACAATATAATATTATGTGCCTGGTCACGGTCCATCGGGATGGCGGGCAGGTGGTGAGCAGGGGGCATTGTAGTAATGGCGAATACCGGTTTATTGCGTCTCCGTCGAGCGTTTTCAGTAGGTAACTTACACGGAGAAGACGGCGATTTTCCCGGTGGCTGCACGCCTATATGTATAGTGTTGGCACATAAACAGTAAATGAGAAACCGCAAGTATACCTAAACGGGTAGCACCTGTATAGGTCCTATATATACGATCCACCGCGAGATTTTCTCGGCTGTCTGGCGGGAAATCTCGACAACTGCACAACGATGTTACACAACAACAAAAACACGTAGGTACTCATAATATATTAGGTATAATTGGGAGCCTGGGAAAAATAGATTACGCACGCGCCGCGAGAACTTTCTTCCGCGGATACATCGTTTCCGCCGTCGTTCACACGTCTGGTATAGCTTTGGCCTTTTGCCCCCCCCCCCCCGCCACGTTCCTGAAATACGGTTTAGGTAACAATTATTATTTGGTATCCTCGGCGTACATTATTAAAACTTAATAATATCGCATGCATAACAATATAACATATAATATAAGTATTGGTGTGACTCCTGAGAAAAAATAAATTATATTTCCGGCACGACCACGTCCCAGGTACCTGGGTATCTGGACAGGTAACCGCGGTCGTAGAGGGAACAAGAATAATATAATAATAATAATAATAATAATAGTATATGACCGCAACAGCTCGCAAGGAAGAGGAGGTATGGGGGGAGCTCGCATGAAAGGAGGCTGCTGGACTAGCGAAACCGACGACGGGGGATTTCGAAAGAACCGTTTCCGTCGGATGGAAGTAGAGGCTATACCTATACCAAACTACCGTATACGACACACGTATCCGCATAATAATAATATTATAAATTAGATTTCTCATTTGGCGTTTAATAATAATAATAATAATAATAGGTTACCTATATTACTATACACGTACAAGTGATTTAATTTTCTGCCGATCGAAAACCTGTTTTTGCAGATCTGCGAGGATATTCGCGAGCTAACGAACCGCAAGCCGGTTAATTTAAGTAACGACTAACCGTTCTATAGATAATATTATTATACAATTCCTATTTCTCGAGGGATAAGGTACACACCGGGTCGGAACAATCAGTTACCGCAATGGTTTTTTTATATTATTATTTACCTCGGACAGATCGCTGGTCCACGCAAGCGTGTCGATGATCGCCTTGTAGTTGCCGTTCAAGCTGAATGCGACCGTCGAGCCGCACAAAAGCACTAGGAGGACCGCGGACGCAAAACCCGTGGTGGTGGAAGATTTCATTTTTTAAATTATTTTTAAAAAAAAACCGTCACTCAGATAAAAAAACGGAACACTGGAAAATCTTTAAAACTTTATTCTACGGAAAACGCTATACTAATACTACTACTAAAATACTACTGTAATAATAATGGTATGACAACGATGAGAAAACTAAAAACGATAGGTGAGAAAATTAATTTTAAAAAAAAAACACCGAAACTAATTCCCGTCGAAGAACATACTCGGTTCGAGGACAAACGGGGGACGGAACTACAGTACAGCGCGCGGGCACCACCGGGCGACGACGACGATGAGTGGTACCGGTAAGGCGGTAACGGACAGACTGGTTGAAAACGGGGAAATAAAACCGCGGGATGGTACGGTGCCGGTGCTGTTGCCGCGAGATCGGTACAGCGTCTGCTGACGGCGCCCGGCAAAACTACGCGCGGCAGGCGGGCCAGCCCGTGCGGATCAATATTTCCCGCCACCGACGCGGCGCACTGCAACGGTCCCGCGCGCCGCTCACCAACCCACGGTTGATGTGCGTTCGCGGGTGGTGGGGTGGTAGCGATGGCGATGATGGTCGTCGTCGTTGTGGCGGCAACGTTTGAGGCGGCGGCGGTCGTTATGGCGGCGTCGTTGTCGTCGTCGTCGTCGGATGGATCGTGTGCAGTATTTTATTATTTTGAATTTACTGCGTCCGCCAGCCCGGCGTATCGTGTGTCCGCCGCCGGTGTGATTGGAGGTCGTGTTTTGATTGAGACGCCGAGATTATCGATTGTCTCTCTGGGGCCCGACAACGCGGCGATAGTCATAATCTGCACGCGCGCGAATAGGTACACCGGCCAAGTGTGCCGGTGAAGCCTCCGCCAGTGCCAGAAAACCGTAGTCATACCTACCCATCAGGCCGGCAGTCTATTATGGATATTATAATTATTGGTATTATGGCGAACGGTTTTCTATTTCCCAGAAACTCCGTGGAGGTATCTACAATATATTATTGCGTCATCGTTAGGTATACGCCGTGTAACATGTTAAACTATGTGGTGTCTGACATAATAGGATATCGATATAACCGAATAAGTTAAATAATATAATATACCTACCTAGGTACCTGGTGTAACTGGAAAACTTAACGGATGAAATTACTTTTCTTCTAATCAATATTTTTCAATTTTTTTTTGCCTGCTTTACATGTATGGGTAGTAGGTATAAAATTTTTTTTGTTTTTATTTTTATTTAATATTGAGTGCTTATAGAAAAACATTAGTTTAATATAGGTACACATTTTTTTTGGAAAAATTCAAAATAAGGTTGATAGAAATCGTTTACTGTAAAACATCTGTTAAGTTCATCCTCGTAGCTTATTTTTTTAAAATTTTTTGAAATCTCATTATTTTTGCCAAGAAAAGTTGATCCAGTCCTAAGAAACCAGTAAAAAAAACCGTAAAAACCAGGACAACAAATTAGGTATTTTCAAATTTTCAAAAAAAAAATTTAGATCACATTTAAATAAACAACTTTTTTAAATAAAATAATATGGGATTAATAAGTTGTTTTAAATATTTTTCGTTAGGTTAGTTTATGCATTAAATAATAAAAAAATGTTAATGATACAAAAGCATGTATTCATCATCTTTGCATATTCACCAGTATATGAACAACCGTGTTTTAAATATATATAATATATTATATCGATGAATTCAAAGTCACCTAGAAACTATGGGCGTAAATTACTATATTTATTTTAGAAACCAAAAATCCCAGGCTCAATTTATTATAGGTAGTATTTTTACTACCGGCTCAATGTGGGCGCAATTTACAAGCACCCACGGTGATGACAGACACAAAAAAATAAAATAAAAAACACACATCATTGTTAAATCAATACACTCATCGCTCTGCTCAGAATCTAAAATAATTATAAAAAAGGTGGGTAAGTGGATGTCACTCTGCTGTACAGTAGGTTACAAGTGGGTCACTGTATAATGGATGCTATTAAATTTGAATTCAATGATACAATATCATAATTGTATAAGAAAAACGATTCTGAGCGAAGACGGTATATCAGTCTATGTATAAGACATATTATACACATATATATGGTATTAAACAAAAAATTGACCTATAAAGGTACCTATAATAAATTCCATATTAATCATATCACAATATCTATTAGATACTTATAACGCTTTATACATCAACAAAAACCACTGTGTGTAAAATCAATACATTCATCGTTTCACTCAGAATCTAAAAATGTTATAATATTACACGTGTAACTCACGAGTCAATAAATGATAATATAAGAAAAAAATGTACCTACAAATATTGATTAGATCAAAAGTTATTTAATTTGTCAGGTCTTCCTGTTATGTTCTGTACGTAATAGGTATATGTATCATAATATATTGTAATAGGCAGGCTTCACGCGGTATATAATGACGACGACGGTGATGTTAATATTATTATTATAAACCTAAATACGAATATAATATTATACGTTCAACAGGATTTTACGGTTTTCAATTAATATGCTTTTTAAGAAAAAAAATTCAATGCCATTTCGTTTTCATAAGAGTGGATAGTGTAAAATCATCTTCGATCTCGAAATTTTAGTTTACATTGAGAAACGATTGGAAATAAAAAAAATTGTTTACAACGAACAAAATATATTGAACATGTAAATTGTACAGGTATACATAAAAAATATGTAGATGTGCTCACACATTTATAACAACGCAGTTTCAGGGAAATAAGTGGTAACGGTAGCTCTTAGAAAAAATTTGATTCTGTTTTTATAATAATATAATAACAAATATTGTACTAACATATTTAACCAATTACTCATGACGTACTGTTTATCTATACCTATTGCTTAACAATTTTAACTGTTTTTACTTTTTTTTGTAATAAAATGTCCTAAGTTTTATATTTGCGTAACTTATATTAATTCGACTTTTTAAAAGAAACATTTACTGCTGTATCCTTTAATTAGATACTTTACAAACGTCTAATGGCGGTTACTATTCATTCAGTAATGTATTTAACTATATTAATTTATCCGTTTGTGCTAAATACAGTTTTGTGTTAAAGTGACCAAGTGTTCACCATACCAATATACCATACTTAGACCTATATTGTATTTTCTTCCTCCCAAATTAACACAACACAGTCTATTTTAAAAATAAATAGGTATTATTAAATTTAATTTTGTTAATATAACAATACGTATTTAATTATATTGTCCTATACTCTTCTATAATAACATTTAAGATAATAATATTATTCTAATATAATTGAATCCAAAAACAAAACATATTTTTTATGTGGATTAATCAGTTTTGTATTTTCTTTATGAAAATATTGTGGTGTAATAAAATGTAATGCAGTAGAAAAGAATAATAAAACACACATTGTTCTTTTAAAAGGAAATTTATTGAAACACTTAGGAAATTTTACCACTTATCTAACCTTTGCAGTTTGCACATATACTTACTATATGGAGGGACTTGAAGCACTCTTTAGTACTCTATAACAGTTCCATATATTATTACAATAAGATCGAAAAAACTTATCCCTTTTTTTATTTTTGTTTCTACTGTATTCTCAAGTTAAACGCAAACCATCTTGAACTGTATACTTACGTAGTTGTATATAGGTACGATGTACATGATGTGTATTATTAAAATTATAATTTCCTGACAGTTATTCACTATGAATGAGCACAAATTAACCATGAAAAATAAAGTATTTGCTATGATATTTTTTTACTAACCATACATAATACAAGTACATTATGTTATACACTTATACCTACATGTTATTTCATCATATTATACGTATTACACAACTGAATGGTTTTATGTTCACACAATATTATACACGCCTTGTATATTTGAGGATATGCATCTAATTATACACTCACATTGATGACTATTTAAATTTTAAGCTATGCAAATTGTGTTATATAAATAATATAAACAATAAAACCTGTGTAACATATTTTAATTATACATTGTTATGTAGGTATATGATACAAAATAGACACGCCACACGTTTAACAAAACAAATACAATTTGGCATTTGCATATTATTACCTAATTTATTAAATACGTAGGTACCTACTTAATATTATAATAATTATTTACAACTTAGTTAAAATTCTACAATTTCAAATAGTTTATTAAAATCCTCGTAGTATTAATAATTATAACCAAAAAAATATAAAAGTAAATAATTTACACTCGTAAATCATAAATTATATTGTTACTAAGCATTTTTCAATTAGACCTTTGTTTTTCTGTCTTTTAGGTACTCTGCAATCTTCGGAAAAGATTAAAATCTATTTATATTATGCTATTGTAATACAGAACGCTACCCGTTGTCTATCTTAAAACAATATAGGTATTAATAATAACGTTAATATACATAGTGATTCCGATGTCTACGACCTACGTCATATCGATCGTTTCTGCTGATATTTCTTTCTCTCATTGTAACATTTCTCTCATTAATTTTTATTATTTTTAAGAAGAATTCTGAAGTCTCAAACAAACAGAGAAACATGGCATCTCCATGACAACCAAAGGCGGATATATATTTAGAAAGATCATATCCTGAATGTCGTCTTATATAATATATAAGATACCAAAAAGTATATATTATTCATATTCAATTACACGAGATACATTTTAAATATATCTTATGTTTTTTGGGTGGATAAACAATAGAGAGTGGAAGAAATAAAAACAGAAGTAGATAGGTACCTACACATATTTTTTCAAAAAGCTTGTCTTATAATAACAACGACAATTAATAAGTAGGTATTCAAGCATCATATGTCTAACTTTTTCAATTTGTTCATTCTTTAATTTTATTCTTATAGTTAAGACGCACAAATTTAATGAAATATTATTGTTATATTTATTACTGTTATTAGATATGCCATAGATAGTTTTGTGTGAAATACCGGCACTATTTATCACGCTATTTTAATATGGACAAAGCGTGTTGCCCCT